AGTTATAAAACATTAAAAAATAACGGTACTAGAAGAGTAACCGTTACACCCCATTACCTCCTGGTAAAAAAATTAAATTTTAATTTAATTTTTTTTTATAAATTTCAGAAAATTTTGAAATTACAGTTTAAATCTGTTTTTATAAGTTGGAATTTTAATTTAAATTTTTCTATAAACCTAGTTAAACAGAGATCAAAAGCAAATGATCCGTGCATCATTCTTCCAGAGTGTTGCCCGCCGATATCCACAGTAATCAAAGGTCACTGCAGGAAAAAATCTTTCACAAATCATTCAACTCCAAATACTACTGCTAAACTAGTTATATAATAGAATTGTTTATATAAGAATTATATATCATACAAAGAATAACGAAGATACCGCTGTAATAAAAAACTTAAAAAAATATCAATTATCAAAACAAAATAATTATTATAAGGATGCATGCAGAAAATATATTAGGAAGGAAAGGACATGCATTCTAAAATATTAGGTAAAAGAAAATTAGTAAATAATAGGTACATATTATATGCATATTCGTATTTACTAAAACAATATTTAATATTGAAACCATACGTACATGTTATTATGTACCTGTAAGGTAAGTTTTAAGATAAAGATATTTACTAAAAATAAATTAATCTTAAAATTGTACTGGTAAAAACCAAGTTTTATTAAGATTTAGGAAGCTATCAAATACAATAAAACGCATATGAAAATTGAAATTATTAATACATAGGACCTTGTCCAAATAATACTAGTAAAGCTTCTATGCTAGAAGAAGTTGATGAATCTATACCACTCCAGGGTATTATGACATTGTTTTAACTCATAGGTTAAGACATCATTTTAATGAAAATAAAAGAAAACATGAAACTTTAACCGTAAAATAGAAAATAAAAAGCATATAAGGACTTAAGACAATATTTGAATATTTAGTGAAGCTCCCAAAATAGGAATAGGTTATTTTTAAATTTCTGCCCCACACGGGTCTTATGAAATTGCTTAACAACTATTGTAAGATAGATTTACTATAAATCTATACAGGATTGAAAAATATAGAGCCGAAAAATTGAAATTTTGAACGTAACACTTAAATACAAAAGATTTACAACTTAAATTAGGTAGTAGCCTAAGCGTCCTACTACCCGAAAATTTTTTACTACTTCAGCATTAAGTGTTTATAATTTATAAAGTTTTGAAATAATTACTATAATTTTACTAAGTGATAAATTACCCTTTGAAAATACCCACTAGTACCATATAATTGTCACAATCGAGAAAATGATAAACTTTATAAAAAAGAATACCACTAAAACACTAAATCTATAGGAAAAGTCATAATAGGTAAAAAAAAATTGCCATAAAAGAACAATGAACGTCATAATCGATAAATTAAGGAAATGGAACGAAAATTGAACCATCTTTAAGATAATATTTACAAAACATGAACCATTTAATTAAAAGGAAAATCTTAATAATCATTATGCATACTTTTTATGCACTAAAGATGTAATAAATTACAAAAATCAAGATAAATAATGTACCAATTTTTGTGAATACAAGTAAGGTATTAAAAACATTATTCAATATGATGTCACTTTTCTTAGTGTACACCAGCAAAGATAAACATACACACATCTGTGTATGTCGGTAATAATATTGAAATTTAATCAATTTTACGATATTTAAAGATAAGGTAAGATAAGGTAAGGTAATGTAACTTTCTTAAGAAGTAGTAGAGGTAAGTAAAAAATTAGTAATGCAAGTATCTGTTTTGAAAAGTCAAAACCCAAAAAATTTTGCACAACTCAACTAAATTCTTTTCAATTTAAAATGAAAACAAAAGTATCAAAAGATATTGCTAAAAGCAAAAATTTTCAAATTATTATTGAGGAAGAAATAAGCTATACAAACTTTACTACTTGTAAAATGTTACTTGCAAGGTAATGGAATTTGGTTCAGTCTTATTAAATGTAACATAATTAAAATTTTGCATAGGTAAAAGAAAAGATATATGAAATACTAAAGTTCAATTTCAAGTTAAGTTTATATCTGATTTCAAGATATACAAATTAAATTTGAGAGAAAAAAAAGTATTATGTTCTAATAAATTAAGATACCACTGTGTTTTGTAAAAAGATATCAAATATAATACTAATAGAGAATTCACTTTATTAAGAATAAATGTTTTAGTCTAATACTGAAAATAAATTCAAAAGAGAGGAAAAAATTTAAAAATCTGAAGGAAAGTTAGAATTAATTTTACTACACAAAAAAATAGTTAAAGACATTTCATACATTATTGTATGAATATATTTAGCAAAGAAAAAAAAAATGATTAAATATAAACTCATACACAATCATACTATATATGCCATATTGTATACCATATACCATATACATTACAAAAGTATACTACATTCTGCATATAATTTTATACAATAGTAAATGGAAACCAACGTCTCAGTATCGAAAAACCTGTACAAAATTATACTATCAGACAAAAAGAAATCGAACCAAAAAATTACTATAAAATGAAGTACAAATCTTTGAAAATTCTAAAACCAATATATTCTTACTGACCGAAAACATTTAAATTGTGTAACACAGATAGTAACATTTCATCTTATTATCAGAACAGTTTTAAATTGAATTTTTACCCATTGACTAACTATATACAAAATATACAATTTGTCTCCAGCGACTATTTCACACCGTTGACAAGATGACAATATTGGTAACCTATTTTCGTTTAAATTTGAAGCTTTCACATGAAACAGCTAACTTCAAACACGAAACTTAAGTTGAGCTCACAGCGCAGTTAGAGAAATCCAGAGTGTAGGACAAAACTGGCTCATACATGCTGAAGCTAAGAGAAGAAAAGGAAGATATAAGAAAGAAGATAATAAATGAAGAGAGAGAAAAAAATACATTCTACAGAAATTCTATTTTTGAAAATTACCTCTTAGTTTACGTTAAAAAAAAAAAACAAGAAACTAGACTTACCAAAAATACAACAGCTGGGTGTAAACCAGAACCAATTAATCAAATAGAAAACTTTATAAAAAAAAATAAAAATAACTGAAAAGGAAATAAGGGAGAGAAAAAAAAATTGTAGAGAGGAAGAGAAAGAGGTATTAGACACTTTTAGTCGCCTTTTACGAAAACTTAACTATAGGAAAGGTATGGAGGGCGCCACCAAACTTACATAAACATATCATTTAAGGTGAATTATAATAGTTTGGCAAATATATTTAATATGACTGATGTTAAAACAGAATGTATATGTTTGTGCAGGCAAGTAACAATTACAATCTACACAAGCCATAATTCATTTAAATTACTTCTTTATTTAATTTTTCAAAGATAAAAATGAAACTTATCTCAAAGTAGGAATGGTGTAGGTCTTCAATCTTTCTCAAATAAGGATGGTCTCCTACAGCGATGCGTCTTCTTCTAAATATAAATTAACATGTTTGTAACTATAACTTCAACTATCTTCTAACCATAAATCAACATATTTGTAACCATAACTTCAACTGTCTTCTAACCATAAATTAACATATTTTCAACTGTCTTCTCAGCGTTTGTTTAAAAAAAAATATTTTAAACTATGTTCTCAGCGTAGTTGTAAAAACCATCGAAAGGTTGACTTATCTAAAAGATTGAGACCTTTTTGAAGTTTACGTAATAAGGAAAAATAAGGAACAAGGAGGTAAGATGTTTCTGAACACAGAATGAATAAAAAATAGATCTTTACAGAAATAATTAACACGTTCTAAAACATCTAACCTCACATTTTTAACATCTAAATAAATCTCGATAATTTCGTTAATCTTTGCAGAAATCTTGTAAATATTAATCTTTTACTCACCATGAAATACTGATGGTTCTCACCACTAATAAAAATACCACGTACTGTTTAAGATTACTTAAATATTAGCAGATTTAATAATCTCGACTGCCTCGTTCTGAGATATTATTGTAAAAGACTTTTTCAAGTAATACCTGTCGAAATTCAATTTCGAACCGAACATACAACTTATAAAAAAAAATAACTAATAGAGATACCTAATAGAGATGGGACAATCATTTTAAAAATATAGTTATAAAATATTAAAAAATAACGGTACTAGAAGAGTAACCGTTACAACATTGATGCTAAATCTTTCCTGATGTTTAGTTTCTTTTATAACATGAGGATTATCACCAACATAAGAGTAGTAATGTACATTATGCATATTAAAAATTCCATCTCTTGTGAAAATAGCTTCATCAGAAAACAAAATGTTTAAAAAGAAGTGATGATTTTGATTTTCTTGCATTCGTAACCAAATACAAAAGGCCACACGGGCAGGAAAATCACCATCATTAAGAACCGGAACTTTTCTAAAATGAAATGGGTACAAGTTTTCCCGATGGACAATGTTCCACACAGATGATTTAGAAATATTAGGATACATTGCAGCTAATCTTCTTATGCTAATTTCAGAGTTTTCCTCGATTTCCATTAAAATATCATTCTAATATTCCTCGAATGCGTCAGCATGTCTACCAGGGGTCCAATTCCTGACGGTCTACGTTAATTTGTCGCATGCGTTACCGTATGCGCCTTCTCAAATTGTATTCTTGACGATCGGCAACCCGTACGTTTCGTTGTCGCATACGCCACGAAACGCATGATGGAAAAGGGCGGTCTTGACCATGCGACAACAGTGTATCGTATACGTTAGAGTAGTTTTTAGCCCAATAGCCCTCTTCATCGAGACCATTCTAGATAGAAGTTTAATGTTTAAAGCACAGAATACTTTTAATAGTGGTTATTCTGTGGTTTAAAGTGCTCATGTTCTGTGGTGCTCATTTTGTTTTTAACACGCTTTTATTTTAAGTAGTATCCACAATATCCATAGTAAAAGTAATTAATAGTATTCAGATAAGATTTAGTTAGTGTAGTGTAATATAAAATTAGTTTCTAGTTTAGTTTTATTGATAGTGACACTATGAACGTTATAGACGAAAAAAGAGGTTTTCGAATTAGTGAGCAACAACGTATGGCGTTAATCAGCTATATGGCTGATCATCCACAATTGCTAGGTGGTAAATTTACCCAAAATTTTACTGCTTCTTCGGCTAAAAATATGTGGAAGGAGTTGGAATCCGAATTGAATTGGATGGCGGGCGCAAAGAAAGATTGGCAGCAGTGGCGAAAAGTAAGTTCATTTAATAATCCATTTTAACTGATAAATAAAATATATTTTTTTTAATTTTAGTCCTGGCATGACATGAAGACGAAAGTAAAATCAAAAAATGCAAAAATTAAAAATCACAGAAGGGGCACTGGTGGTGGAGCACCACTGGGAGATGTGTTAACAAACTGGGAAGAGAGTATTGTTAATTTGATTTGCTCAACGGCCAGTATGGGACACCCAGACATCGACGAGTCGCTTATAGAATCTGTAAGTACTAAACTACATAAAAATTGTGTATTATCTTATCTGACACGTCCAAACTTTTTCCAATAAGGCTGCCACTCCCAAATTTTGATGTCATTGACAATACAGTTTATTTTTCATAGGATATTGATTTACCTGCAACAGAGACAGTTGAGGTTGAAGAAGTCATGGTGTTGCAGGATCACCTTGAGGATCACTGTTATGGAGAAGTTATGGAGAAATTTGAAATTGTACCTACTGAGACTAGTACTCCAAACATCTTTCCACCTACTCCCAAGGGTATGTTACATATTTTTTTTAAATTAATATGACATCCTTGCAAAGAATACCCCCAATGAATCTAAAATATTCTTACATTCATATAAGCACATAAATTATACACATTTTAACAAACATTTCTAAGGTGATTTCAAAATTTTAATTGCAAATATTGAAACTTTATTTTGCATATTTGAAATTACATGTTTTTATTCACATTTGTTGCTATTTAGTAATAACTCTTATTTATTTTAGTTATTACACAAAAAAATTTTTCTACCCGTCGTCAGACAGTGCAGAATTCTACAGAGGCTACAAAAAATCTGACTAAAACATCTGAGGCTAGAAATGAGATGATGGGCCAATATTACAGAGAAAAGTTGGACATACTTAAAGAAACTAACGAGTTAAAAAAAACTGAACTGAAGTTAATGCGGGAACAAAACGAAATTCAGAAAGAAGATGTTGACAATAGAAAAATCCAAAATGTTTTGCTTGAAAACATATCAACAATTTTGAAAAAAATTGTTGACAAATAAATTATTTTTTTATTTATTTTTGTTTTATTTTAATATAAATTCACATTTTGTTTAGTACATATATAATATACTCCCGAGCAATGAAATTGGCTCCCCTTATTACATTTTTCGTGATATAGTTTTTCGAAAAGTATAATTCAGATTTTAATTTATTTTAATTTGTTCAAAATTCTATTCATTGATTGTAGTGTAAATTAAAATCTGAAACATATTTTTTGAAGAAACTTTATAATTTTTAATAAAAAAAATAAATATAGATGAACACTAAAAATTTATTTAGAATACATATTTTTGTATTAAAAACTTGGCAGTTCAAACGCGAAAATGGCTATTTATAATTTGTCTCTGTTTTCTTCGACCAGCTTCTAATTGTGGGTTGACTCTTCCTCTTCTATCAATGTGGTCTTCATTCTGAACATAATTATACTGTCCCAGGTCAATTAAATCATCTTCAGGTTCTGGACCTGGGACATTATATTCCAAGCACATATTATGTAACACTGCACAAGCATTTATAATTTTTGATACAATATCTGGGCTGTAATGCAATACTCTGTGTTTAAGCAAACACCGAAATCTTGCTTTAAGCAATCCATTGCACCTTTCAATCACATTCCTGGTGGACCTGTGGCATGTATTGTATCTAAATTCATTTGAATTACGAGGAGGTTCAATCTCAGTTTGCGTTAGTAACCAAGGTCTTAAGGTATATCCACTATCGCCTATAAAATAAATCAAAACGTTTCAAAATCAAATACAAAAATTTTATTAAGTAAAAAAAAACATGAATAAACTACCTAACAAATGATAGCCAGTATGTCCAATATTATGTAAATTCTCCATCGCATCCTTAATGTTCGAATTATTCCAAATAAAGATATCATTTGTGCTTCCTGGATACCTGGCATTAACATTTAGAATTTTCATATGTGAATCGCAAACCTATAATAATACAGTTTAAAAAAATTGTACAATTGTGTTTTAATTCTTACCAGTTGTACATTTATAGAATGGTATCCTTTTCTATTTACGTATAT